AGCTGGGCTTTCCCTGGAGAGAGTCCCCGAGCAGCCAGGCTCAAAGCATCTCTGCAAAGGCAACAGACCTCCTGCTTCAGGGCAGCAGGAAGGCAGAGAAGAACTTTGGCAAAGGGGCATATGGCAGTTTTCCTTCCCCTCTCCCCCTCCCCATAGTGAATGACAGGACAACAGGGTGGTGCGGCAGAACCCATGCCAGGACCTCCCAGGCAGCATCGGAGGCCGTGGACTTGGTACCACCAGAGCAAACACTCACTTGAGCAGGCGCATGCCAGCTGTGGCACCCAGGTAGAGTGGGGTGCTCACGTGCTTCTCGGTGGGCACATCTTTCAGAGCCTGGTTCAGACAGTGGACTAAACTTTGCCCAGCACCCAGGGGGTTGGTGCTGTAGCTGGAGATGCCTGGACCTGCAAGGAAGGAAACAGCATTGCTCCTCTGCAGCCATACACACAGCAGGAAGGTGTCTAGTGAGCTGCATTGCCCCCAGGCACCCTTGGGTGCCTCTGCCAGCTCAGCACCCTCTCAGGCTGTTTGAAAGGCAGGTACCAAGGACTCCTGTTTTGGGTTTCTGTGGCTGTTCACAAGGGCAAGAAAACATCCTGATGACCAAAGTTCAGCTCCTCAACTCCTGGACCATCAGCTGATAGTCCTGGAAAGCTTAGTTGAACAGATGGTTGAAATCCATCCCTTGTTCTTTGCTAGGATAATTAGTGAGCCAAATTGGTTATCAAAGGTTTAGGTTTGATGCCTGCCAGGCATAAGACAAACTGCAGACACGAATAGTTGCAACCCTGGGAGGAGGAAGTGGGATTGGTGCTGGGAGCAGGGCAGGACTCCTCTTTAACACCTCACAGGGCTTAGTGAAAATGCAGCCTTAGATGGCAAAACACTCACTGGAGGTCCTGTGCCAAGCTACCTGGGCAATGGTTGGCCATGCTGGCCCCCAAAGGCCCAGATGACCCTTACCTTCTATGTCGCACATGCTGTGCTCACTGACCACCCCAGTGTCATTCTCCTTGTCTGCAGGCCACTTGTAGACGAACATGGCTGTGTGGGAGGAACCAGCATCCAGCACAATGCCGTACTGTAGGCAAAGAGGGAGATGATCAGGCCTGGAGGACCAGAGAGCCCCTCCAACAGCCTCAAATCAATCATTTCAAGGGAAGTTGAAAGATCTGCTGGTTCCTGGCCAAGAAATATCCTTGGTGCAAGTTTGAGGAACATCATCTTCCATTGCTCAAGGCCAGGGAAGATCCTGGACCAAACCTGCCCTCTTGGCACCCATATCCACCTTGCTGTTAACCTGCCTGTGACATGGCTGGGAGCCAGCTGCTCTCCTTGGCCATGGCCACCAGACACCCTGGGGCAGTGCTCAGCACAGCACGGGGACTCTGAGTTATTGGGCCTGGGGACCCTCTCGCCTCCTTGCCCATGGAGGAAGGAGATACTTTTCTTCCCATCGCTTGCTCTGGTGTCCCTCCTCCCAGCATCCCTCCATGCCAGCCGGTCCCTCTGGACAAGCAAATGAGAGAGTCACCTGGGAGAGGCCCATCAGGGATGCGGCTTTCCAAAGACGGGCAATCGGCCGCCTCATCACTCTCTGCCCATGTAAGGCTCGCAGCTCGCCTGCTATAAATAACCCCGTTCCCTCCTGCCAAACAAGGTTTCCAGAGCTCCCAGAGGAGCTGCCCCCACTCTGTCCTCAGGCGCCTGGCCCCAAGGTGGCAGCCCCCCTCTACTCTGTCTTTCGGGTGGCCCTTCCCACCAGCCTCCCCATCCTGGTCCTTTCCATTTCCCAACCGGAGCTGCTTATCCACTGGAAGGGAGGCCACTCATTTTTTAGGATCAAAATAAGGCATATTTTAACTCATCCCCAATGGAGCATCTCTCTGATGTGAAACCACTTAAACTTGGTGCAAAAAATGGCCTTTTCTACATGCGATAAAACCCTGCCAAAAGTCCATGGTGAGCCCCTTGGGCCAGCAGCAAGCTGCTCTTCCCCCGGCAAGACTGCCCCATGCAGCACCAACGAGCACTCAGAGCCGCCCTGGCACCCACAGGTGCCCACACCACTCCCTGTCCGTGCCACCAATGCAAGAAATCCCTGGATGGTGGATTAGGGCAACCCGGCCTTCTAGGGAATCAGGGCAGATCCCCTTTCACGCTCATGAGGCTAATTAGTGATCATCCCGGGTTTTCCCAGGTAATCCTAGTAATCACCCTGCAAGTTCTGCAGCCACCTGGGGCCTATCTGGGACATCTCTGGTAGACACACAGGATGCTCAAGACAAAAGCTGGGCCCCATGCCATGGAAAGCTCCATCCGGATGGATAATCCCACACACAATGTAATTAGCAGGTGATAAAAGAGCCCTGGCATCCCCAGGAGCTGCCTGTCCCCAGCTGAGGCCTGCTGGTAGCTCAGGGATGCCCACAGGCATTTTGGGAAGCAGCCAGGATGGGCAGAACTGCAACGAGCACCTCCGCAGGGCTGCCCAGGGCTTTGGGGACAGATCTCTAGCACCTCATCCCACCGCTCAGCCCCAGCCTGGGACCAGGCAGCCCTGCAGTGTGACTGCCTCCATCCATCGGGTGGCCCAGACACGTCCTCCTTGGCACGTCCCAGTCCCCATTGCTGTGGGTGGATGGGTGGACGTTCTCTGTGCAGGTGCTGTCTTGTCGCCCAGGCTCTGTGGCACACAGGACGTCTCAAGAGAGGTTCAAATCCAGGCGCTGTCTGGCCTGGGGATGCCCTGGTGGCATCCACCATGTGTGTGCCCACCAGCCCCACATGTATCCCAGCTCTGCAGCCACCACACGTGCTCACAGCTGCTGCTGGCGGTGGCCCAGCTCCTGAGGAGGAGGGCAGGCACAATGAGCAGAGCAGATTCTGGCAAAACCCCTTGGTGGCCACCACGGTCACGAAGTGCCATCTTCATGTCACTCCCAGGAAGGCCCCAGCAGACCCGCGTTCCAGGAGGCTTAGCAGGCAGCAGGACATGCACCCACCACCACCGCCCTGGCACAACCGCAGAGGCAGCCTGGAACTCCCTCGCTGCCAGCTGGAGAACCCAAACACAGCCCCGGGGAGGGGAGGCAGGGCCCAGCGGAGGCTTAGCAAGGCTCTGAGCAGGCTGCCACTCATCCTGCGTGTCTCCAGCATTACGAGGTGGGAAAGCTGTCCTGGAAGGCAAAGCATCACTAAGTCACCAGCAAACAAGAGTGCAGAGCTGGGAGGCCAGGTTGTGCTGCTAGTGCCTACAGCGACCTTGGGGCGATACAAGGGGAGAAACCTGTTAAATTTGTAGACCCAGAGCTGGGGGAGGCAGGAGCCCACCAAAGGGGCACAAGGGCTGGAAATGGGATAATGAATGGGAGAAATGGACTAAAAAGTACCAAAGTGGGAGGCAGCAAGGATGAGCACTTGCATGGGCAGCAACCAGTGCTATATACCAGTGATGTGAACGGGAATGGCTCTGTGATGTGAACGGGAATGGCTCTGTAGGAGCAGCACTACCGGGCTGGGGACATAGGATCGACCTCACGGCAGGGACAGATGTGGCCAACATAGGCTTGGAGGAGCAGTCGCATCCTGGAGGGGCGAGGGAAGTCCTATGTGTCCCCAGTGGAGAGGGAAACGTCCCCAGTGGAGAGCTCCTCCAGAGGATTTCTGCTCCAGGACTGGCTTTTCTGTGCCGGCCTTGTAGCCATACAGAGAGCAGATGTGCACGGGGCCCGCAAGCATGAATATGGGCAGGTGCACGTGCAGGTGCCCGGGGACAGCCCCACTGCCCACTGAGCCCTGCAGGGAGCAGAGCAGCCACGGCTCTAACCTGGGGCAAGGTGACCAGGCAGGAGAAGCGACTCCAAGCTGCTGCACTGAGCCGGGATGGAGGTTTGCAGGAACAAAAGAGACAGGGCCTGGCTGCACCAGGAATGGCTCCCACCTGCCTTCACTGCTCTAAACTTGCCGTTTCGCTGGCAGATTTGCACTGCCACTGTCTGCTCAGAAGCCTGGCTGCCCCAAGGCTCCTGTTCCCTTGCAGAAGCAAGAAATTGCATCTTGGGGCATTGCTGCCCCTGGCTAGAGCCTGGAGAGTGGTTCTCCTACCAGGAGGCTCCTGCACCTCCCAGACTGGCTGTTTGCAGAACAAGCCACTCTCAAGGGGACAAATCCCTCGTCGGGATCTGGATCTTGTCCCCAGGGGTTTATAAGAGGCCAGGCTTCATCTCTGCAGGTCACTAAGGACTCATGGGCAACAGACAATGTGCAGGGACCTGCCAAACCACAGTGGAGACCCAGGCCAAACCCAAGCACTGAAGAAAATGGGTGGCAGGATGAGAAGAGGTAACGGAATTGCAGGAACATAACCTGCCGCAGAGTGAGGTCGATGTCCGGGCATCCCCTCATGGTGGGAAAGGCCCCTGGGAAGCGCCACGTGTGCCCACACCCCCGCCAGGGCCTGGGGCTGAGTGGGGAGCACCTACCAGCAACGCACCCCAGGAGCGCAGCACGTCTGGCAGGGCCCCTGCAACAGCCTCGCACATACAAGAAGCTTTCGGGGGAGGAAAGGCTGCCCTGAAGCCCCTCTCCTTAGCGATTTACAGCACAAGCTCTGTGCTGAGCTGTTCCAGAGGAGGTTTCCTGCTCCTGCCAACAAAAAAGCTGGAAGCAAGAACTGGAAGGGCCACGGAAACATCTTGGCAGCTTCCCATGCAGGCGCCTGGCTCCCATCACTCCCCGCATCGGCTGGGTCCCACTTGGCTGCTGGAGCCCAGGGCTTGATGGGGGCCTCACACACATGCGTGCTGGCCCCCACACTGTCCTGCAACGCCAGCATTTTGCAGAGCACAATTTTTCTAATGATGCGACCCCACTACCTGTCCCTGCTGATTGCACAGGGCCAGCTGGAGCAGGAGAGCACGCTGGTCCCACACAGCGGCTCCCAGCTCAGCCCCACAGGGGATGAGCCATGGGGACACAGGACCATGCATCACTCGTTGCTGTGCTGCACACCAGGTCACCTGGCCACGAGCAGCCCTGGCTCCGGTGGGCTCTGCTCTGCTCAACAGCATAATTCTTGCCCAGCACCGTGATTTGCACCAGTGCAAAGCATTTCCTTGTGGCCCAATTTCCCCCCGACAGAGGAGGATGAGGAGGGCAGTGACATCCCTAAAGATGTCGAGTGCGTAAGGTTGAGGGTAGCGGCTCAGGTTCCTGCCGGTGCATGCCTGGCTCTAAGCAGAAATGAAGCCTGCCCTACGGTCCACTAGTCCTGAGGGCTTCCCTGGCACAGCCGCTCTCGGGATGCCCAGTGAGATGAATGTGGGGGCTCCACTGCCCTCTCCCCGCTCGCAAAGGGCCGAGCCTGGCGGTCCCTGGCTGGGTACCTTGTCCTGGGGGCTGTGACCGAAGCCGCCCGTGATGTCACCTGGCTCCGCTCACCCTCAGCACCTCTGGTGGGTGCAAGGACAGCCGCTGCCTACGCCGCTCCCAGCCCTTCATCTGCCCCAGCACCCGGAGGCTCCTCTCCCCATCCCTGCCCAACATCCGCCTGGCCACCCGGCCTATCTGCAGGAGCTGGGACAGGACTGAACACTGCTGCGGCCTGACTCCAGACACCATCCCTAAATCCCACAGGATGCTACTGCCCCCCCGCCACTGGGCTTGCTGACACTCCCGCCAGATGGGTGCTGTCAGACCCAGTAATCGCTGCAGGTTGAGGAGCTCCACCTGGGCTCCTCTGGGGACCCAGCATGGCAGGAAAAGACTGGACAAGAAAGAGAGTGGGAGGAAATAATAAGCCCCAACATGGTGCTAAGCCTGGGGACTTCCTTCCACTGGGGCTGGGTGAGGAGCAAGGTCTGGGCCAAAACCAGCACAGCTCCTGGGCTGGCCAGGATTTCAATCAAGCACAAAACAAGATCTTCATCTTACGTCTCTCACCTAAATGGCATCAGCACCTTTTTGGTTGAGTCAGAAGAAGACGAAGGACAAAGCTTTGCACCTCCCCAAGCTCCGTGCCAAACCCAACACCCCTATGTCCATTCACTGCCAACCCTGCAGGAAAAAGCCCTGTGCAGATAACTGCCCTGAATGCCAATGGGCAGAAAGCATCCCCGCCTTCGTCCCGCCAGGCTC